AGAAAGAATGAATCATAAGAAGAAGGTTCCATGCTCAGTGCAGAGCCTGACGTAGGGCTCTGTCTCACAACCCTGGGATCATGACCTGAGCCAAAATCAAAAGTCAGATGTTCAACCAACTGAGCCACCCAGTCACCCCTCATCTCATTTGAATCTTGATATTTTTTCTTAATTGTACCCAATAGAAGTCTTCTTCCTTTGAAATCTATAAAACAGTGTCTTTGCTACTTACTTGTACCACTTATGTGTTACCTTCAGAAGTTCTATTTTCTTGACATATCTTATCTCCCAATTGAACTGGAAGCTCCCTGAAGGTAGGATCTATTTTTTATACTTCTTTATATTTCCAAATATAAAGAATATACCAATTACACTCCTATTTCCACAGTACTTGAAAGGAGAAGACACTCATTATGTCTGAAATTATAATGAAGATTTAGTAAAGAATATAACACCAGAAGGCAAGGAAAGCACTCCAGGCAATTTTTATCAACTCACAGCAGTTGCTTTTTCTTTCTTTTTTTTTTTTATGGTAAAAGTAGAACAGAAAAGTGAATAGTTTTTTTGTAGTACAACAAAAGCCTTAAATTATTTATTTCCCTGCCTCAGTTAAAATGCTTTGTTTCACACTTGACAGATGAATGGATTATAATAGTCTAATCCAAACATTTCTGCCATTAACAGGATGGAAATTTCTCTGTCAATACTGTATTTGAAAAACCTCAAAATATGGTGGTGATTGGACAGTCAGCATTTGCAGACTTTGGTAAGATTCTTTTCATCTTTCAAATTCTACCCCTCTCTCTAACCTAGTCATATTAATTTCCCATACCTGAATATAATTGTATTGTCTTCAGAACTATTAAAGATTTAAAAGGTGTCTTTTCCAGTATTATACATGGCATGTGGTCAATTCCTTAACACAAGAAGGGGCCATTTATGACATTTATGTTTAAAGTATAATTTGAACTTAAGGGACTCCTGTTTGCAGGAGTAACATGCAAAACAAGGAAGTCTGTTGAGGCTTTTCTAAAGGATACCAACTAGTGATTATCGTGAAGTCTTCATACATTTCTAAATGATGGAACAAAAAAAATTGGGAGTTAACCTGACCTCTTGAAACTTGAATACTAAAAACCATTTCTATTTACATAATAATTTCAAAGAAGAGTAACATCTATTGTGAATTTGCCAGATGAGGACACATGAATCTCTGTTTTCCTTAAGATTCTACACTGTAAATCAAGTTCACTTTGGTTAGGAACTTCCAAAGCATGTATGCCTCTTTCATCATTTGTCAGTTATTATTAAAAAGAATTTTGTATTAGATAGTAAAGTAGTCTAGATGACCACTACCTAGGAGTTTAAAGCCCACTCTCCTCCTACTTTTCCTTCATTCTGCCAATAAATACCTCAGCTTCTTCCTCAGAATCCAGATGACATGTCACCATGTCCAGAGGTCTCAGCTCCCTCATTTGTCAAATTTCAATGACAATTGTATCCACCTCCCAAGACTATAGTGAGGAACACAATGTGAATAAAGTACACTATTGGGCACATAGTAATATGACAATAAATTACTCTATAACATCTTTTCATTGGACTTACCTGTTTTTTTGTTGTCATTACTGCTCTTTGCTCAGTTGGCTCAATCAGCTCTTTGTTCAGTGTCATAGAAATGAATCCCAAGGCAGCTATAACATGTTTAATAGTGTTATTTGAGGGGTACCTGGCTGGCTCAGTCAGTTAAGCGCTGGTCTCTTCATTTCGGGTCAGGTCATGATCTCGTGGTTCGTGAGATTAAGCTTCATGTCAGGTTCTGCAACAGTGCAGAGCCTGCTTGGGATTCTCTCCCTCCTTCTCTCTCTGCCCCTTCGTATGTGTGCATGTGTGCATGCACACTCTCAAAAATAAATAAACTTTAAAAAATAGTGTTATTTGATAGAAATATCAACATCTCTATGTTGTACTGTATTTTAGTTTGGTTATGTTGCATGTTACTTTGATTTTGAGCTCATTTCTGGTTCCTGATTTACATATAGTCTTTAATAAGCAAATAGTGAAGTTATACATGAAAATTTTTTTAAATTTGCTGACTGACTTGATAAGTTGGATTGACAACAAATCCTTTTGCAAGTCTTCCTCTAGAAAAAAACATTATATAATTTTCAAGAATACACATACCTCCCTTAACTCTAGTTAAGAACTTCTATTTGTGTTATGATTGTGTGTTTTATATAAGTGCCTTGACTTTAACAACATTATTGGTAGCTTTTCTTAAAATTTATTTAAATTTGACTAACCATAGACTTTTACATGCAGGTATTGTTCAAATGTGCAGAATATAGGATATAGCCCATTAAGAAACATAACTATATTTCCCCACTATTTTTAATGACTTTAGGTAGCATATCAGTAAACACTTTTATTCATTTTCTTTTAATATGAAATTTATTTTCAAATTGGTTTCCCTACAACACCCAGTGCTCATCCCAGCTGGTGCCCTCCTCAATACCCATCACCCACCTACCCCTCCCTCCCACCCCCATCAACTCGCAGTTTGTTCTCAGTTTTTAACAGTCTCTTATGCTTTGCCTCTCTCCCTCTCTAACCTGTTTTTTTTTTCTTCCCATCCCCCATGGTCTTCTGTTAAGTTTCTCAGGATCCACATAAGAGTGAAAACATATGGTATCTGTCTTTCTCTGTATGACTTATTTCACTTAGCGTAACACTCTCCAGTTCTATCCACGTTACTAAAAAAGGCCATATTTCATTCTTTCTCATTGTCACGTAGTATTCCATTGTGTATATAAACCACAATTTCTTTATCCATTCATCAGTTGATGGACATTTAGGCTCTTTCCATAATTTGGCTATTGTTGAAAGTTCTGCTCTAAACATTGGGGTACAGGTGCCCCTATGCATCAGTACTCCTGTATCCCTTGGGTAAATTCCTAGCAGTGCCATTGCTGGGTCATAGGGTAGATCTATTTTTAATTTTTTGAGGAACCTCCACACTATTTTCCAGAGCGGCTGCACCAGTTTGTATTCCCACCAACAGTGCAAGAGGGTTCCCATTTCTCCACATCCTTGCCAGCATCTATAGTCTCCTGATTTGTTCATTTGACTACTTTGCATGGCATGAGGTGATATCTGAGTGTGCTTTTGATTTGTATTTCCCTGATGAGGAGCGATGTTGAGCATGTTTTCATGTGCCTGTTGGCCATCTGGATGTCTTCTTTAGAGAAGTGTCTATTCATGTTTTCTGCCCATTTCTTCACTGGATTATTTGTTTTTCAGGTGTGGAATTGGTGAGCTCTTTATAGATTTTGGATACTAACCCTTTATCTGATATGTCATTTGCAAATATATTTTCCCATTCCGTTGGTTGCCTTTTAGTTTTGTTGATTGTTTCCTTTGCTGCGTAGAAGCCTTTTATCTCATGAGATCCCAATAGTTCATTTTTGCTTTTAATTCCCTTGCCTTTGGGGATGTGTCAAGTAAGAAATTGCTGTGGCTGAGGTCAGAGAGGTTTTTTCCTGCTTTCTCCTTTAGGGTTTTGATGGTTTCCTGTCTCACATTCGGGTCCTTTATCCATTTTGAGTTTGTTTTTGTGAATGGTGTAAGAAAGTGGTCTAGTTTCATCCTTCTGTATGTTGCTGTCCAGTTCTCCCAGCACCATTTGTTAAAGAGACTGTCTTTTTTCCATTGGATATTCTTTCCTGCCTTGTCAAAGATTAGTTGGCCGTACTTTTGTGGATCTAATTCTGGGGTTCTGTTCTATTCTATTGGTCTGTGTGTCTGTTTTTGTGCCAATACCATACTGTCTTGATGATGACAGCTTTGTAGTAGAGGCTAAAGTCTGGAATTGTGATGGCTCCCGCTTTGATCTTCTTCTTCAATATTACTTTGGCTATTCAAGGTCTTCTGTGGTTCCATATGAATTTTAGGATTGCTTGTTCTAGCTTCGAGAAGAATGCTGGTGCAATTTTGATTGGAATTGCATTGAATGTGTAGATAGCTTTGGGTAGTATTGACATTTTAACAATATTTACTCTTCTAATCCATGAGCATGGAATGTTATTCCGTTTCTTTGTATCTTCTTCGATTTCCTTCATAAGCTTTCTATAGCTTTCAGCATACAGATCTTTTACATCTTTGGTTAGATTTATTCCTAGGTATTTTATGCTTCTTGGTGCAATTGTCAATGGCATCAGTTTCTTTATTTGTCTTTCTTTTGCTCATTATTAGTGTATAAGAATGCAACTGATTTCTGTACATTGATTTTGTATCCTGCGACTTTGCTGAATTCATGTGTCAGTTCTAGCAGACCTTTGGTGGAGTCTATCAGGTTTTCCATGTATAATATGTCATCTGCAAAAAGTGAAAGCTTGACTTCATCTTTGCCAGTTTTGATGCCTTTGATTTCATTTTGTTGTCTGATTGCTGATGCTAGCACTTCCAACACTATGTTAAACAACAGCGGTGAGAGTGGACATCCCTGTTGTGTTCCTGATCTCAGGGGGAAAGCTCTCAATTTTCCCCCATTGAGGATGATATTAGCTGTGGGTTTTTAATGAATGGCTTTGATGATGTTTAAGTATGTTCCTTCTATCCTGACTTTCTCAAGCGTTTTTATTAAGAAGGGATGCTGAATTTTATCAGATGCTTTTTCTGCATCGATTGACAGGATCATATGGTTCTTTTCTTTTCTTTTATTAATGTGATGTATCACATTGATTGATTTGCAAATATTGAACCAGCCCTGCAGCCCAGGCATGAATCCCACTTGATCTCATTTACTCATGGTGAATAATTCTTTTTATATGCTGTTGAATTTGATTTGCTAGTATCTTATTGAGAATTTTTGCATCCATATTCATCAGGGATATTGGCCTGTACTTCTTTTTTTTTTTTTGCTGGGTGTCTGTCTGGTTTAGGAATCAAAGTAATACTGGCTTTATAGAATGAGTCTGGAAGTTTCCCTTCCCTTTCTATTTTTAGGAACAGCTTGAGAAGAGTAGGTATTATCTCTGCTTTAAATGTCTAGTAGAATTCCCCTGGGAAGCCATCTGGTCCTAGACTCTTATTTGTTGGGAGAGTTTTAATAACTGATTCATTTTCTTTGCTGATTATGGGTCTGTTCAAGCTTTCTATTTCTTCCTGTTTGAGTTTTGAATGTGTGTGGGTGCTTGGGATTTTGTCCATTTCTTCCAGGTTGTCCAGTTTGTTGGCATATAATATTTCATAGTATTCCCTGATAATTGCTTGTATTTCTGAGGGATTGGTTGTAAAAATTCCATTTTGATTCATGATTTTATCAATTTGGGTCGTCTCCCTTTTCTTTTTGAGAAGCCTGCCTAGAGGTTTATCAATTTTGTTTATTTTTTCAAACAACCAACTCTTCGTTTCATTGATCTGCTCTACAGTTTTCTACATTGAACTGCAATACAGTTTTCTATATTGTTTATTTCTGTTCTGATCTTTATTATTTCTCTTCTTCTGCTGGGTTTGGGGTGTTGCTGTTCTGCTTCTATTTCCTTTAGGTGTGCTGTTAGATTTTGTATTTGGGATTTTTCTTGTTTCTTGAGATAGGCCTGGATTGCAATGTGTTTTCCTCTCAGGACTGCTTTCACTGCATCCCAAAGTGTGTGGATTGTTGTATTTTCATTTCCATTTGTTTCTGTATATTTTTTAATTTCTTCTCTAATTGCCTGGTTGACCCATTCATTCTTTAGTAGGGTGTTTTTGACCTCCATGCTTTTG